CCATACACCATTATTTATCTGTTAATTCGATGCCCGGCACATTCGAATTTTGCGTGGTTTGAGAACGTGAGCGACTGTTTGCCTCTCTCTGGACATCTTATTTGACTCACTTGCTTGAGTGCTCTCAGCCGCATATTTGAGGTTTGCTTTATTGTACATTTGTAATGATTTCGTTAATTCAGTACCGTAGAACATTGCGGATCATTTGGGTTCTTACTTCGGGATTCGTATCGGTTCCGCTACGCGTCACTCAAGTGCGAATTGATTTACATAGAGAGAGGACGCCGGTCACTCGAACTCGAAAGGTTCGATCGCACAGACAGTCAGAGAGCTAAGCTATCATGGTTTCGGGGATTCCCTGGTTGGCCAGTTTCTCTGTCAGCAAACAGTGACGAACTCTATCGAAGGCCTTGTAAAAGTCCAGCATAGCTACGTCCAGTTGCACCTCTCTGACCTCAGCACTCGTATACCACTCCGTGGTCTCAGTGAGGTTGGTTTGGCAGAATCGCTTCCCTCGAACCCCGTGCTNTGCTATATAAACTCGTTGATTTTGTCGTCAATGGGTCTCTCCATTACCTTTGAGACCACCGAAAGCAGGGCTACCGGACGGTAGTTGCTTGGTAAGGTACGGTCCCCCAACTTGAATATAGGAGAGACCACGCATGTCTTCCACTCGTCCGGGACCACGCCAACTCTCATAGAGTGGTTGAACAGTCTGCTTAGTGGTAGTGCTAACTGCTCTGAGCAATGCTGCAGTACGGATGGTATCTCATCAAGTCCCGTTGACTTTTAGCTACGAGGTTTGCCAGTTTTAGTCCGACCTGTGCAGGGGAGAACGACACAGGTTCCGTGAACCTGCTGGGTATGGACTCTACTGCGGGGACACCACTTCCGTCTGTCCGACTAACAAGTTCTGGGCTGAATACCGTGGAGTAGTACTCAACCAGGTTGTTAGCTGCAGCATGGTTGCTATTCGTAAGGAATCCATCCACAAGACGTAAGTCTGTGATTCCGGGTTCCGCCTGAGTCACCATGGAGATGTCCCT